AGGCACGTCCCTCCTCCCTCTACTCTCCCTTGGCTCCAGGCCCGCGGCGAATCTCCCCCGGAGCGGGTTGCCTACAGGAGGCAGCTGGCGCTCCTTAGGGCCAGGTGCGGTCGCGGGCGAGGCTTTTAACGTGACGTGGGTGCCCGCGGACGGGGCCGCTGCACCGCGCCACGGCGCCAAGCACGAGGAGGAGGACGAGGAGGAGGAGGAGGATGACCAGTGCAAATCCAAGACTCCTCAACGATGTTGGAGTATACCCTCCCACCAAGCTCCGTCTTCATTGGCACCTACAAGGTTTCATTTCCACAGGGAATTGCCCGATGGGGGTCAACCGTGTGGAAATCCTGAAGCGTGCCGAAACACCATTTTCAGGACTTGAACGCTAGGGGTCAACCTGATTGTTGAGGCATGGCGATCCTGAATCGGGCCAATCACAATTCCTGGGACTTCGACGTTGCGGATAAACCTAATTTTTGCGCCTTGACAACCCTGAATCGCTCCAAAACACCGCTTCTGGTCGTTAGTAATGAAATGCCATGAAACTCTTGCAGATATGTAGGACGAATGTGCGCGGCGCTAAGGCAATAGCTACATGTTGATAACGGCCCGCCCTCAATCGGTGAAGAAACGTTGAAAACGAATGAGCGCGGCGCTAAGGCGATAGCTACATTTTGAAGACGACCCGCCCTCAATCCGAGAAGCACTTGCAAACTTTTAGCATGAAAGTGTGCGTCGCTAAGCGAGAGTTACATATTAAAAACGACCCGCCCTCAACCCGTAAGCTCCTGCCAATGTTCAAAGCTAATGCGCGCACCACTAACGGGAGAGCCACATGTTGAAAACGACCTGCCCTCAACCCGTGAAACTCTTGCAACTGTTACAACGAATGTGCGCGGCGCTAAGGCGAGAGCCATATTTTGGAAGCGACCCGCTCTCCATATGTGACAGTGTTGCAAGTGTTCAGCTTCAGGTTCATGCGTTGTGAGGAAGTCTCGGGCGAAGCACCCCGTCCGCCCTTCTGATCGTTTTCTTATTCGTCGGTTTGCCGACCGGCGCGGGCCCTCGCCTTTCCTCCTGCCCATTGGAGTGGATCCTGGCTATGTTTGGCGACGGTTTCGAGCAGGTGGGGTCTCCGCGACAGGACGCATTGCTGCAAGCAGTAGCATTAAGCAGAAGGCTGGAGCCCCCCCCCTCTCCCGCCCAATGTCGAAACGCCGAATACGAAAACGCTCCCCTTTCGACCGGCCGCGGGGCGGACAGGGGCGAGTTGTTCACAAGGAAGAGGAATTGAGGAGGAGGATGAGGATGAGGATTCATGATGATGATGATGCTGATGCTGATGCTGATGCTGGTGGTGATATGATGACGATGGTGATGATGACGATGATGCTGATGATGACAACGCGCATAGCGATGAGGATAATGATGATGACGTCGGTGAGAACAGTTGATGACGACGGCAATTGCGATAATGATGATGCGAGTAACAATGAGGATGCGGCGGGTGCTGAAGACGACGGCGACGGTGATGATGTGGTTGATGATAATGACGACGATGCCGATGCTGATGGGCATTCGGATGTTGATGACGACGATGGGGATGGTGATGAGGATGATGACGATAAAGAGGAAGACGATGACGAATATGACGATGCTGCTGCTGATAATGATGATGATGAGTCTGATGATACGGCGGGTGACGCACATGATAATGATAATGATCATGATAATGATAATGATAATGATAACCAGGATGGGATGCAGATGGGGACGATGATTACGATGATGATGATGGTGTTGATGAGGAGGTTGACGCTGAGGATGACAATGCCGATGGTGGTGTGGATTATGATCACCGTTTTCAGGATGATGAGGGTCATGATGATGACGGATATGGCGTTGCTGATGAGGATGTCGATGAGGGTTGATGAAGAGGATGTCGATGAGGGTGATATGATGAGGATGATGGTAGCGGTGATGATGATGATGATAAGATGTGGGATGCTGATGACGATGCTGGTGAGGGTGATGATGAGGATATTGATAATGATGATGATGATGGTGGTGATGATGACGATGGTGATGATGATGCTGATGAGAACCGCAAGCCAGACGAGGATCAGGAGGATTAATCACACGAACTTGATGATGTTGATGTTGTTGGTGATGAGGATGAGGGTGAGTATGTGATGACGACGACGGCGATGTCGATGACGATGCAGATGAACATTAGAAGGAAAATGATGCGCCCGATGATGCGTATGGGAATGATGTTGATGGGAGGTGTTGATGGCGATCAGGAAGATGGTGATGGCGACTACGATGCCGTTTCCGATGATGGCGACACTGATGATGACAGGGATGACGACTACGATGGATATGATGCGGTTGATGATGGTGATGGTACTGATGAGGAGGTGGACGACGATGATGATAGCGATGTCGATCTCAAGGAGTCTGCCACATGGGTCAGCAGCATCTCGGGGTCCCGAGTCCCAGCCGCGATGGCGCCGAATGTACGGAAAGGTAAGGCCGTGTAGAAGAAGGTTAGCACCAGGCGCTCCGATATGGTTGCGGAGAGCCGAGAGTGGAAGCAGCGGGGGGCGTTTCCGCAGCCAGACCATAGCCGCGTTGGAGAGACACCGACCGATCAAGCGTGGCTGGCACCGCGAGCTTGGGCGGCTGCGGCTGCATGGCGCAAAAGTGCCTGCGACAAAGTAATGAACGGCGCGGCCTATTTCACGAAGGCCGCCGAGCTGGTCGAGGGTTACAAAAAGCTGGGCGCAGGACCGATCGGTCACAAGCTCTTCCACGACATGCTGGCCCCAGCGCCGCAGAAGAAACGGAATCTACGGCAACGGGGCCCCCGCGGGCGGAAGCAGACCGACAGCGACAGCAAGTGCGTCAAGCTGACGCAGCACAATGGTGGAACTCATTGCGCGGTGGGCAGAATCGGCGAGCCGGCGGCTATTGCGGCCGACGAGGGGGTGGGCATCGCGTGATTCCAGGGCGCCCACATGGAAAATGACGTGGCTTTCCAGCTGCCGCGGGCGGAGGGGGCCAGGGGCGGCCGGCTATATCCTGCGACGCTCGTGAAGGCGGACGTGGGCGAAGCGGCGCAGCGGTTGCGGCGCCGTCGGCGCCGGGCCTCAGGGAGGCAGTCGAAGGGGGGCCTCCAGGAGGGCACGAGGATGGAGCAGATCGCGACCCCGCCGTTCGCGAAGGCGACGGAGCGTTACAAGAGGCGCCAGGGGACAAAAGGGAAACCCGTACAACTGCCCGAGGGAGGCCGCGATCGAGATCGACAAGAAGCGCGAAGTCCTGAACAGGATGAAGAGAGCAAGTGGCCCAGCAGAGCGGGGCGAGTGGGCTGCGCAGCTCTCGCGGATAGGGGCGCAGGTCAGGAAGGACATCGGGGGCCGAGGGGGGGCGAGGCTCGAAGGGGCTGGCCGACGTCGTCGAGAAGGCGGGGCAAGACGGGCGGATCAAGGCGGCCCGGCAGCAGACCAAGAGACTCGCGCCGAAAGCCGAGGCCAGCTGGGCGGCTGGGGCGGGAGGCAGGGCTCGCGCCGCGGGGTTGGCCTGGGGGGGGGGCCTCGTTCAGATCCGCGAGGCGGCCGCCGTGGACTTGGGCGACAATCGCTGCGGTTGAGAGGCGCAGTCTCTTCCAGGGAGGCGTCGAGCAAGTCAGGCACGAGCGGGGGCAGGTCCGGAGAGTTCCGACGCGATGCCGAACGGCAAGGGAGGCCCGAATACCATCGAGATCGAGGATGTGGAGGGCCCAGATCCAAACGCAAAGCGCCAGAAGCCGCGCCCGCGGCAAGGGGCGCGGCGGCGGGGCTCTGGAAGATGCCCATCGGCGCGGACAGCGCTATCGAGGCGCCGACGACCGTCGGGGCCGCCCCGGAATTACGGGCGGAGGCCGCAAAAAATCTCGACGTGGCCCATCGGGGCACGGGCGCGGGGATCGCTTTGTTGCCGAAGCCCAGGAAGGGCGCCGGGGGCGCGAAGAACGAGCGGAGGGCCGTTTCGATTTCGAGTCTTGCCGGCGTGGCGGGGTCGAAGGTCACCATCGCGGGCGTGGCCCCTAGCTTGGGGGGGCGGCTGGCCCAGCCACAGGCGCGGCGGGCGCGGCGGCCCTGGCGCGCGGCGTCCGCGAGGGCGCCGTTGGCCGCGCTCCTTCGTGCAAGGCGGGCACGCGGAACGCTTGCACCGCGGGGGGGGGTCGCGCCGAGGGGAGCGGGGGGGGGGGGGGCAGGTCGCGGTGTTAGCGCTTTAGGCAGTGCGTCGCTGGACGAATTTGCTTTCCTGCGCGCGCGGCGCCGATGGGCCGCCGCGGGGGGCCGCGCGCGCCGTTTGCCCTGCCGACGCGGCGCCGCGTGCGAGCGGCGTCGTGCGCAGGTGCAAATCGAAGGCGCGCGCGCAGTTCGCCCTGCCGACGCGGCGCCTCGCGCGAGCGGCGCCGCGCGCAGGGGCAAATCATTGCGATGTTGGCGCGGGGGGGAGCGCGGCGACCTAGCGGGGTTGCCGCCGCGTTCGGCGCGCGCGGGTCGGGTCGCGGGGGGCGGCGCGCGCCAGCGCCGAGGCGGATGGGCCCTATGTGGCGGCCTCTTTTATTGCATGTTGGCAACTCTGCCTACGGTTCGGCTCGGAGGCGGTCGAGCTGAATTCGCCGGGCAACATTCGGAGGTGACCGCGCGCGCAGACAAAGGGGCACCTCAGGCGCGCGTCCAATTCCGGCAGCGGAAAGGATGCGCGAACCCGGGCCCGGCGAGCCGCGCGCCCATGAGCGCGGGATCGGCTAGCCAGGTGGGGAAATTCGCGCGGGCGCGCGCGCGGGCGTGGCGAAATCGCGTCTGCGCGCTGCAGTGGCGCAGGCGTTGCGGCGCGCGCGCTAGGCGACGGCGCCTGCGCCCGGGGGCGCGCGCTTTCCCGGCGCCCATCGACGCGGAGGCGTTGTCGCGCATCAAAATAACGGCGGCGCGACTGGACCCCTCGGGCGTCCGAGCGGGGAACGCGCTGCTTCCGGACCGGCGGGGCAGGGCCGACCGGGCCCGAGCGCGCGGGCCGCTATTCGCGTGGCCTCCGGCTGGGTCCCCCAACAACGTCGACGCGATGGCAGCGGCGCGCGCGCGGGGGGCCCGTGCGCCCAGGTACGCAGCGGCAAAAAAAATCCGATTCAGAGGAGGCCCCGGGCTCGCAGCATCGGGGCCTGGGGCGC